CCTCAGGGCACCAGACGTCCCTGGAGAACCAGCCCTGGCTGCCCACAGTCGAGGCTTGGCCGGAAGTCCTTGCTGAACGACAGGTGAGCACCCAGAACCGAGGCAAAGGGATGGAAGGCCCAAATGCCCCACACCGTGGGAGCACAGGCCGCCACTCAGTGGGGTCCAGGCCACAGTGGCTCCTCAAGGCACCCGCAGGCCGTGACAGGCCAGGACACCCAAGGCCTCCCAGATCCCACATGGGTTGTCGCACACGGACCGCCATGCACAGGGGCCAGCCGCCCACATGGGCCACATGCACACGGGCCAGGGCACGCTCACGGACCGGGGTGCACACGGGCCGGGGCACCCACACGGGCCAGCACACCCATGAGCTGGGCATGCACACGGGCTGGACACACGGGCCGGCATGTGCACAGGCTGGTCGTAGCCCGCGAGGGCGCAGAGCCTGCCCGTGTTCCTGCTGCTACGCTCCTGGGGGACAGGGAGGACCGAGAGGCCGTCAGCTCCCAGGCCTCAGTGTTTTGTCTGTAACACAGGCCAGCCCTGGCAAGTCCACGGAGCCTCGGGCCCCTGGGAGGGGCGGAGAGAAGCTGCTGACCCGGCACTCCAGGTTGCTGCCTGAGAGGTGCAGCACGGCGCCCTGGTGATCTGGCGCGTGTCTGGCAAGCTCAAGCGCCTCACTCCTCGCCACCCCCGCCCCCGCCCCCACGTTCTCCTCCCTGACATCTCCTGCCGCTCCGAACATGCTCTGACCCATGGCCTACCCAGACAGTGGCTCTCGTGTCAGTCCACCTGCATGATGAGCACCCGAGGCCACGTCTCCTGCGGGGACACCAGGCGGCAAGGACACTCGTGTGAATGGCATCCGAGCACAGCCCACAGCTCCCCAGGCTGAGGGACCTGGCCCTGTGGGGCACCCCCAACCATCCCCACCCCTTCACCAGTCCCTGGTGGCCTCGCAGCCCTGCCGCCAGCCTGCACACAGAGCACTGCAGGCGACACCGGGGTTGGCAGCATGGGCACGGACCATGGGGGTCTCAGACGCCCCCTCGGACACCGGCTACTGAGCAGTCCGAGGGGGGCAGAGCCCCAGCCGCACAGCACAGTGTTCGGCCCGTGGCCCGGCTGCACAAGGCAGCCTCCCGCTGACATCTGGCCTGCAGGCGGGTCTGGGGACTTCTCGGGTGGGTTATGTTGTGTCTACGCCCTCACCTCGTGCTCCGGGATGACACTGCATTTGGAAATGGGCTCTTTGCTAGCGGCATGCGCTACGGACCTCGGAACAAGGCCTTTCTGGGTCTAGAGTGGGCCTGACCCCGAGAACGGGAGTCACGGAGACAGAGAAGCAGCCCCACGGGGGCGGAGACAGAGATGGCCAAACCCAAGGCGAGGGGCCGCAGAGGCCACCACGGCACCCAGAAGCTAAGGAGGCACAGAAAGTGCCCTCCCAGGCCCTCGTGGGGAGGGGAGAGAGCAGAGGCTCCCAGTCCCAGGCTGGGGCACAGTTTACGGGACCCCACAGCCCTGCACTCTCCTGTGCTGAAGTCCAGCTGAGGGCTGGGGGTGGGCTAGTGGGAGCCCTGCCTCCCGCCCCTTCTCCTCAGAGCCCCTGCTCATCTCCTGCCTCCCTGCAAGAAGCAAAACAGCACCCCAAACTGCCAACAAACGGTGGGTGGGGCGGGGGGCAGGCTGGGGAGAGGGCCAGGATCTCACAGCTCGCTCCGGCCTACGGCAGGCTCAGCCAGGGGGGTGG